GTCTCTGAATCAATAGTGGACAGTCAAAAAGAGAGTGATAGTGAGCAGGCAGAGTGAGGTGACAGACAGAATAATTGAGTAGTGCAAGCAGTGAGGAAGCAGCACCTTCCATACAAACTAATCCTGAAGCTTAAGGCATACAGTAAACCAGCACATAAGTGATTAGCCTAGAGTTAAACTATCAATCATCTTTGCCCCACACAAACACACACTACGTAATCTAAGGTTATGCAGACATGTGAGAAAGTAGCAACCATAGTCACCCTAGGAGGGGATTGGGTTTCATGGATGAGGCAGCTGAAGATATTTCATGCAACATAATGCCAGAGCTGTTTGCCCGCCCCCTACATCCCCCCTCCTCCCCCCGTCTCCTCTCGCCTATCCAAAGCACACGCAGACATGAGATACTTTTTTTCAGCCATGGCAATATTTTTTTTTCTGTTGGAAAAAAACAGAAAGCCTGCAGGCTGTGTTGTTGTGGCCAACCTTGTGGGTGCATGAGAAAAGAAACGTGGGTATCGCTTACACAAATGGCCTGCACGAATGTGCGAGAGCCAGACAAAATATAGAATCTGAGCCACTGTGGCAGAGCAGGCCTTTCCTGTGTTTGTGGATGATGTGAACACGTGCATTCTGCTGAACATGGCTGAATGGCCTCTAACAGGAATGCATGTATATTAATTATATTAGTTCTTGAAACTGTGTGTGGTGTCCTCTAAATTTGTCAAAAAACATTGATGACATTGGTTGACTTTGTACATTTCTGTTCTGCTGATGCATAGATCCAATAAAGGTTTGGTTTCCCTTTTGAGAACGAGACCTTCTGTCCCATTGAGAGTACCTGCCTAAACAAAGGTGGATTCAAATTTAAAAAAATAAACATTTATTGCAATCAGTACATTATGTCAACATCAATGTTTAGACATTATTATAATTGGAATAAACAAAAAAGACCATCCCTGAGAATATTGGCGATGTTTACCACTTAATGCTGTATTTTATGGTTTGACATTTTCTGAGAAATCTGCTTGATTTTAATAACTGCACCCGCTAACTTGCTAACTTATTAAAGGACCAGTGTGTAGGATTTAGTGGCATCTAGCAGTTGCCACTACGTTGCAGACTGCAACTAACTGAACACAGCTTGTGTCTGTATTTGGTGACCTCGGAATAAAGAACGGGCTATAACGTGTGTAGGAGAAACTCACTACAAAAGCTAAAGGCCCTATTTACAGCCAGTGTTTGGTTTGTCCCCTCTGGGCTACTGTAGGAACATGGTGGTTCAACATGACAGACTCCGTGGAAGGCGACCCACAGTGTAAAAACGTCTCATTCTAAGGTAACAAAAACACAACGATTCCTATATTCAGATGATTATACACTAATGAAAACATAGCTATTTATGTTATATTCAATTTCTGCTAATATATCCTCCTAAATGTTCCACACTGGACCTTTAACTTGGCCGTTTCAACAGAATAGAATAGACCTTATTTGTTCTGTGCTGTTTTTACAGAAAAATCAACACTGCAAATGAAATGAACAAGCCTCACAATTTTAGTCTGCCATAAGCTAAACATATTACAGTCAATAGAAGCTAGGGTTTGCATTATAAGTGGCTAGTGAGCTAGCAAGTAGCTAGTTGTATACTATTAACATTACGATTGCTTGGTATCCTCCTGCTGGCTGAAAAAATAGTTCTTATAATGAAGAGAGATGACCTCTCTACAGTTTTTCTATAGCAGTACAGCAGTATAGAAGAAGAGTTAAATCGGGAAACTATGGATCTTAAATTTTCTGTCTTGCCTAATAAAATTCTGTTAAAATGAGTATAATGTCTCACAAAACAGATAAGATTAATCCCAGCCATTAAAAAAAGATAACAGTAGGCTAAATGAAGAAGGTATGACAAGAAATAGGGAATCGTTCTGGCACTAAAATATACCACGGAAAGGAAAGAGTGTGATAACACGGCTAAATGATGTACATTTGCCTTTAAATAGACAAGGTCCTGCAAATCCCCAACAGTGTTTCCAAGTGTATTATTAAGACAGGATCGCCAAGCTCTGTGAAGAAATGATCAGTACCACTTTCAAAAAGAGAGAAGACTGAAGCAGAAAATTGAAATTGTCACAATTTTATACTGAATTTGGGAACAGGCAAAAGCTATTGTAACAATGTGCATTGCATAGTAATGAGATAGTGTGAGTAACGCTATTGAGTCGCACAAACAAGTAACTACAGCAGAGGGTAGAATCGGGGGGGTGGGGGGAGTAACATTAACGTTAGAAGAAAATATTATATTGTTCATTCATTTAGTCTATATACAAGTCTCGTAAATTGAGCCTTAATTATCCCGGGTAATATCATGCTCAGTGGCAGACAGAATTGAGGCTTATAGGGGACCAATATAAATGCAGATGGTGTCAATATTCTATAACTATTACACACTGCAATCAACATTTACTTGAAAAAAAGAAAGAAAGTTAAAGCAAAAACGTTGTTTATTTCCTCTTTAAGCAAAAGCTAACAGACCATGCTTAGCATACATGTTTTACAGTGGATAACATGCTTTGTTAGGCAAAACATGAAGTGGAGCACTTAATCACATTTTTTTTTATCAAGTGGTTGAGTTAATGAACAAAGTGTGTTTGAAGTAGCAGACTCATTGCTAATTTTCACATGTTGCATTTATGAATTACAGTAATTAAACAACAAATTGTGCATTATCAAGGTATTTTGGAACTATTGGCTTATAGGTTGACTGGAACGCCGTGTGTCAGAGCTCATAAGGTAAAACATTTTCTCTAAGACTGATATGATCTAGTCTGTCACTTTGAAATTCAGACTTTTCTACAACTATAGCTTGCATGAAGGGCTGTCACCGCAGTGAGAGAACATGCTTTGAAATTTCTGTCAGGCTGATTAATGGGGGAGAGCATTGAGAATTGGAAGGAGTATTGCTGCATCGTTGTACTTTTTCACACAATTTTCTCACCACACCTCTGCGTACCTTAAATGCCATCAGAATATATTCCAGCTCCATAAGGTCACATCATAACGCTCTATTTGAACACATGATTGAGACATATGGTCTCCCACAGGACTTCTTTCGTTTTTTGCAGATGAGGCATTATATGTTGCACCGCACAACTTTAATTGACATCCCTGAAAGATCTCCTGTTGAAACAGCTGAAAAGATGTCTGTCAGTTTATTCTATGAGGCTATGCATTTGGCACCCTCCGGTTACTTTATAGGGCTTCAGGGCACATGGGAGAAGTAGCTATCTGTCACAATCGATGATGAAGAGCGAAAAGATATCTAGAGACATGATAAATCAATTTCTGTCTGGATCTGTACCAAAGCAATACACAGAAAAATACACAGAATGCATATATCCCCCAACCGTAGACATCACCCATGTGCTGCAAATGCAAGACAGAAATTGGTGCTCTAACTCATTGTCTTTGGTGATGCCGTAAGCATCTTTCTGAAAGAGACAAATATTGGGTGTGGAACTGGAAATGGACCCAGTGTCCCGCCTTAGCAGATATATAACATCAAGAGAGTGCTGTTTGATTTAGTGCTATTAGAGTACCTTACAGCTATATTACATTCAATACATATATATATATTTGGGAGCCGTATCTGAACTAGCACAGCAGAGCCTGGTGTGTCTGCCATCATGCTGCAGGGATATTCTTGTTTGTTCTTATCGCACATTAGCATTGTAACCTGTGGTGCTGTGTGTATGAATCGGAGCTGGAGTTCTAAGTTTTTGGTTTGTTTGTTTTTGTCGTTTAGTCTTTTGTACTTTTTTTCTTTCTCCTGCGGATTTCATAATGTATCCATCTTCTACTTATACACTATATATAATATATTGTCAAAAGCAGAACATAATGTAGAGTAAATTGGGCTTAAAATAAAAAGAAACTACAAATGTACTATAGAGGATTATTCTTTTAATTACATACTATATACTGTTTAACAATCAAGCTAAGGGTACGGGAAATCTTTTAATGTCAAGTGTGTGACATTTAGGAGGATCTGTTGACAGAAATGGAACATAATATTCATTAGTATATAATCACCTGAATATAGGAATCGTTATGGATGGACCTGTACTTGTATAGTGTGTTTTTGGCACCTTAGAATGAGCCACTTTTATCTATAGACGTCCACCAAGTTTAACTGCCATGTTTCTACAGTAGCCCAGAAGGGACAAACCAAACACTGGCTCTAGATAGGGGCATTTACGAAGCAAGGGAGTGGTGGTCTGCAACTACACCACTACATCCCACTAAATCCTACACACACTGGTTCTTACTATCTTTATATAAACTTTATATGAACTACTCCTACTTAAGGCCCATGGATTGCCAGCAGGGAGCTTTGTTCACATCAGCTTTACATTTGATGTCATGTTTACAGCCTCCCTGACTGATCTGATTGACATGGAGCTGCCTTGTCAACTTTGATGCGTGTCAAATGGCGTAGACCTGTATTTACTTTTGTCTGACCTCCTCTGGAGCTCAGAGATCAAAATAAAACCAGTTCAAAAGCTGCGTTTTGATCTGATATGAAGCTCTATAGCTCTTGCAACTGTCACATGTTCTCCCATGAGCTTTCAACATGTCAGACTCTCCTTGTCATCGCCAGGACCAGACAGATCATTTGTCATCATTTCAACATTAAGTACAATGGAAACTACAAACTTGCTAGAAAAGTAAATGAGCTAAAATGTTAAGGTAGAAAATGAAAAACACATAGTATGAGCAACAGTACAGTAGACGCAAGGCTCAGCTTGATTCTCATGCTTTGGGAAAAAGTGTCAGAAAACAAAAGAAATTGGATATCACTAATTGAAATGAACAGACATACTCTAAGTGCACCCCTATCTAGTTCCTGCTCCAGTGCAGTGCTTGAAAAAGTGATTATGTTTAGATGAATAACTGACTTCAGGACAGACAAGCAGGAGAGTAAAACACGTCATACTCACAGCGTAATTCCTTACATATCCCAGCTTTGGTACAAGAGAGAAAGGAGATTGTTTAACTACAGTCATCGGGGGGAAAATGAGAACACAATAACAACTTTGATGTTTGCTGTCTTGCGTTTTATGCACCAAGTTGACCAAGTCATTTTGGAGTTGATTGCCTGAAGGTATTTTTGTAGTAAAAACTATGATTTATTTAAGGTTTATGGTTTAATGTATTATGCATTTTGTGTTCAAGCCAAACCTGAAAAAGTAATGAGAGGGTTTTAAAGTTGACATTTTTAAACAGGATTTTTAGTTCAAATGGCCCTTTGATGCCTTGAGTCAGAAATGAGTGTAATAATTGGTGAGGCTACAACCGATAAAGCTCCTGCTCACGGTATAAATACTATCAAAATGTCATGAAAACTTAATTTAGCTCTGTCAGAAGCAGAATATACTGCATGTTTATGAAGGGCTTACCAGATGATGTAACATTTTCTGGCAGCCATATTAGAGCTCTCTGCTCTTAGAAAGAATAACGATACAGTAATTGCACTTATGAACTTTTCTATACATTGTTTATGTTTTACACACAAAAAAAGAACATGGCAAAGAAAAATTAGTTTGTGGGTAAATAATGTTAGCATCTTTGCTAATACACCATCACGTGTTTACCCATTAGCCAAGTTACAGTAGGTTAGGTATTAGCTTAGTTTTACATCATGGTAGTTGTATGTATACTTTAGTTAGTTTCCCTGAAATGAACTGAGATAACCACAGGCTATAATGTTAGTTAAATCTGAGTATAGCAGTGCTAAAGATAGGAGTTTACAAAGTAGGCTATGCTAAATTTGGAAATAATGTAATTATTTATTGGGCCTTTGACTTTTCAGTCTGGTCTTGTGAATTTTTGTTAAGTATAATGTTTCAAAATCGTCAAAGGTAGCTGACTAAAGATAGGAAATAGTCCTTACGCTAAAATGCCAAAGAGAAAAAGATTGTGTCAGGGTGGTAGAATGCTAATTATATACCTTGCGTTAAACTCTCATGTTCATATATGCATTTATTCACCATGAGTACAGCTTAACCAAACTGTTACCAGAGTTATCTTGTTTACTATGACAATAGAACCATGTCCAATTCATGCTATTTTCAACTGTTTAATTGTTCACCACATGGTAACAATAAATTTCACACATTTTGTAATACTTGTCTTATGAACTTTCAATTTTATATTCTCCTCTGGAACTCACTGATGATGGTCACATGAAGTTGCCAGGAGATTTGTGACATACTGTATCTGCAAAGTCTCTAAAAGGTGTTATACAAAAGTGTCCAGCTGATGATAAAGCAGGAGTTTTACCTTATTTCTCTTAAAATAGGCTCTACGGCAGGCGGCGAAGCACTTCTCACTGCAGAAGCTCTTCAGCTCACTCCCCATGCTCAGAGAATAGCGTTTGACACCAACCTTCTGGCACCAGGCGCACATGATCTGCACATTGGATGCATCTTCATCTAGACAGAAACAAACAAAAGTGAAAGCGAGTTAGGATGCCCAAGTTCAGTGGGTAATTTAATAAGGACAAACAACATATTCTTTTCTACATTATCTCAGTTGAAACCTCAGATCCTTATCCCGGACATTCAGTCCAAGAAAAGTCACAAAATATTGTTATTTGCCTTGCTATGGTTTCACATAATCATTTAGAGCTGGAAGTAACTAGAAGTGTTATTTAAAGTCCTCCTCCACTCAAAAATCCTTGTTTCTTTTTGTTCCTACAGTGTGATGTGTAAATCCTGAAAGTGCAAAGTTTCTCTGAGCTCATTGAAAATCTGATTCTAAGGGGCGGGGCCTATGAGCATGATTTGTGACATCACAAATAGTTTGTAAGTCAACTCTGGTTCAGTATGCAACTTCTACAGTGTGATCCACCAGTGCACATGCACTGAGAATGGACTTTACACTTTAAACATTTGTATATTTATATATTCTAGAATTATGCTTTTTTACGTAAAAAAAACATATTGCTCCAAGCAGACTATTTGTATATGTCATAATACATGTCTGGAGGGGATCTTTAACACTCATAATGTCTTACATTATAACAAATACTGACTTCATGGTACAACTATTTCATTTTGTAAGTCTGATTCTGATTAGAAAATATCCTTAAGCAAGAGTGACATCTATTATGTTTTAAGTGTCGGAGAATATCAACAAGCATGCAACAACTAGATGTTTTAAACACAAGGACCAAAAGGCATTAACTGCGCTGATTCAGCCCAGCTGCTGGGCTGGTTAAATCCGCTCAAGATTCAAGCCACAAAACCACTGTAGGACTTATAATGAAGCCCTGCCATGGGTAAATGCAGCAGAACCGGATGAGCCAGCGACATGGGAGGATGCCTATTTGCGGCTGTGCTCTGTGGGTATTAGAGAACCTGAAGTGGACACTAGGATGTACTTTGATGCTGGGTGTTCACACAGGAGACTCCAACAGAAGGTGTAGTCTCCCTGCGGATGTGCATCCTGTGTGAGCGTGTTTACTGCATGGTCACAGAGAATTCTAAAATAATTGTCATAGTTTGGGTGAGCCGTCCCCTTTTGTGTAAGATGGGTGATGGGTTTCCACAGAGCAATCCATCTAAAGAACAGTTGAGAGAGTTCAAGGAGGTATTTGTATTTTTTGTTTCTTCCTTTTTTCTTCCTAAATTATTCATGATGAGGGCAATTTGAGGGCAGGGAGAAGGGGAAAAAAAGCAAAAAAATTAAAAAACATGAGGAAAGGAACCAGAAAATAAACTAATACATATACAACTTTTCCCAGTGGCCCACAAGGACAGACAAACAAATATTTACTTCATAGACGAGACAGGACATAAAATAGAGTTCACATAAAATAGACACTGAGTCCTAGTCATGTAGTCAAGGTTAGGGTTAAGGGATGTTAATTATACAATGAATTTCAAGGTGACTGTAGACAGTGAACTGGCTCAAGTATAGAAAGTAAGTAAATATTAAATGAGACGGTGATAATTAGTAGGTTTTATTTAATCAATCCAATATGAAAGTACTGAGTTTAAAAGTATATATGTTACTAATAATATAAAAGAAAAGTATAAAAGAAGAAGGACACAGTTTTTGCAGCAGGGCTCTGGCAGGTACGTATAAGTATTCTGCTATATGAGATTTATATGTATAAGTGTAAAAGTATATTCCTCAGTTAATGCTTCCTTGTTGAAAATTCATGACCTGTGTGGGAGGGTGGCCTGAAGTTCTCCTTAGAAAGAGAAAGAGAAAGAGAATGCATTGTAAGGACTAATTGTTGTTTTACAGGTCAAAAAGACCAGATCTCTTCTGTCTCCGAAGATCTATGATTAACAAAGTTATGAGTAAATCTACAGTTGACCTCAGCACATCCCCCCTGGTCAGTGTGGGCAACAAATTATTTTAACAGACCCTCTGTGACAGCGAAATGCCTCTTCTGTGGCGAACTGCGACTGCTAGTGATGAGCTGCGGGCTTTTAGTGCCGTCGCTGTTGCAATGAGACAGATCCTTGGAGATTCCCTCCAGTATCTCCCAATTATCACATTATGACTACGCGGGTGTGAGGGCGAAAAAAAGCAGGCCCATTAGTCTTTCACCCCCGCTCACCTCCTTATCGCATGCCGGCCAGGCTTTTCACCTCTTGTTGAGCTTAATGGATCTACAGGGCCATCAGATTTTAAGTACAAACTAACTCACAATTAAGGAAATAACTCCCTGGGGTCCTAAACATAGCACAGTCGACCTAACATGCATATTTTATGTATTTCCCATCCTCTGCGCTCCATCTCGTTCCTATAGTCTCTGCCTTTTTTTGAGTCTATCTGGACTGCTGCTCACTGCAGTGATAACAAAAAAGCAAGGCATAGTTTCATTCTGAGATGACTGGGTAGGTGGATCGGGGTTTGTGCATTTCTTGGAATAATATATGTACCACAGCAGCGTAATGAACAGGATCGAAGGCCAACATGAAATCACAACATCTTTCCCAGTGTCTCAACATTTTCATACAAAGAGACATCTTAAGGTGGAGTTGTTTTTGCCTTCCCACATCCTGGCACCTCGTAACAAGCCCATCTCAAAACACTCACATCTGCATGAGGGGGGAAAAAAACCTGTCAGTAATTATGCAGCCTCCATACTAAATGCCACCATCATCCGCCGTACCTGCACCTCAAAAGGTCCTTTGTCGGATTTTTGCGGGGCACATGAATAATTCAGCATATGTGTGTGGGGGGGGGAGTTGAAGGGGGTGTCGGCCGGGTGGTGGGTTGGTGCTGGGCTTTAAGTGGGACCACACCATCTGTTTCCCCGCCTAGGCAGGGCCAGCGGGGACTCCTCTTGGGCGATGCCAAGGCGGCTCGCTAGCTCCGCCGGGGCGTACCAACCTCCTGTGCCGCAGCAGACGTAAGGGATAATGAAGCCCTCTGTCTGGCCAAGGAACGCGGACATTTCCTCAGAGAGTTGATGGGGTTATATTGACACTTGGGCAGGTGGAGGAAAACAAGGTGTACAGCAGGTAGCTAGCTCATTAGTCGCCTGTCCCTGCATGGTTTGGAGGCTTTCAGGCCATTGCAAAGACAGAAAGTTTTCATGTTGCATAAACATTCAGTTTCTTGCAAAGTACTGGAGAATCAGCAAGTAGGCTTATACTTTCAATACAGTGTAATCTGTCTGGAGAACAGCTGTGGATGAAATCTATGCCAGTTCTTCTAGTTGGGTGTGGTTTGACTAGAGAAATAACCGTGTGTGCGTTTGTGGTTGGACGAATACATCAGCAATCTGCGACAGGCTGAAAATGACCTTGATCTTTTTGGAAATGTACAATGTAGCTTTGTTCCAAACACACAAATTGGTAAGCATAGAACAGTTGAAACTTAATGTACTGGCTCTGGAGGTCGGATGGTTAGCCCATTTGAGAACATTTTGATACTGGCAGTCATCATGTTTAAGTCCTTTTTTTGACAAACAAGAACTTTTTACAAACCTAAACTACTTTTCAATTAATCTACTGTATGTGTCTTTCAAAAAGAAAGTGTCGTGCTCCCTACCTGCAGGGGGCTTGATCAGTGGTGGGGGGATCATGGGGACAATGATGGGCAGGTTGCCATGCTCCTTGGTGATGGGCGTGGAGGTGGACGGCTCTGTGACTCCGTTCCTGGACGCTGGCAAAGACTGGGAGCTGTTGGCTCGATCCGGAGAGCCTTCACCACTCTCTGTTGAAGGTGGGATTTTTGGCAACAAGTTCTCTAGACAGAGGAAATTGAGCAAAATAAAAGGTTTCTGAACAACTGATGAGATGCTGCAGCACTTGCTGCAAATCCTGCCATAATACAACATCTAACACAAAGGGTCCATTTTTACCGTACTGGAGGCACAAGTGATGAAGCATGTCTGTTTTTTAAGGCAGGCTTGGAAAAGTTTACATTAAGAGCCATTATTTAGTGACTTATTTTGTGACTAAATAAGCAACAATGAAGGTTAAAGCTGAACTTATCAATATTCTAATGTTACAAGTAGATCAAATTAACAAATGCAATGTGAAAGAGGTCACCCGTAGAGACAAACCCACAGAGAATTATAATCAGCTCAACAGAGCATATTAGCTTCTTTTAGCTCACTGTTTTGGTTTTTCAGCCCACAACTTCACTATTTTGGTTCAGTCTTTCTTTTGGTACCATTCTTGTTAGGAAAAAACATTATGAGCACCAAATGGTAGACAGACAAAGTTAGCAACTAGCTGGTGAACATAGTGGAGCATTAAGCTAAAGAGTCATATATTTTACTCAGGAGCTGGTGGAGGGCAAAACAGAGCTAAAAGGGGAGCGAATATCAGACTAAGATTTGTCAGTTGGTCACAAATGAATGCTAATGTCTCTCTGTATCGCCTGGATGAGCAGCATATGTTGGCAACTGTTCACTAACAAGCTCAGTATACCAACTTTATGAGGTGATAGTATGTTAGTATGTTTGCAGCTCTCAAGTTGCCAACAAGTCAACTTACACAGGTTTAAAGTTCAGAAAGCATTCTTAGTTAATAGTTGTAAAAGTCAGTTAATCTGTTTCATTGGGACTGTGTAGGTGTGGATGTGGCTTCATGTAAGTATTACGGTGCTGATAAGGTAAGCAAACAGTCCATCTGCCATCACATTTTGATTCAAATGCTGCAAAATTCGGATTGGCGCATGGAAAGATGTGACATCGCCATTTTCCAACTGAGCCCTCCCCACTTCAAACCAATGAGAAAAGGACAAAAAAAATGTAAAAAGGAAATTTTTCGAGTGTAATAACCTAAACCTTTATCATTTTGGCAGGAAACAGTGACCCCATTACTCATAGTAAGAAGCTGTTTCAGGAATTATGTATTTAGGGCCTTTTACATAATTACAAAGAGGTGTCACAGTCGTGTTCATATATACTGCATTAGCCATGTTTCATGATTCATTAATAAGCACTCTTTTCATCATCTTATTATGAGAATGCTGACTGCCAGAAAGGCAAAAAATGCATGCACTTTTTGATAAAAAAAACTCAAAAATGGTGGACTGTAGGCCATGTTTGAGTTCTATACCTTTGAGGACAGAGATGTGCTGTGGCGTCTCCCCGATGTCCAGGTTGTCAGAGTCTCTCAGCTCCACCTTGTCATAGCCGTACCAGCCCAGCAGCTCGTTCATGGTGTTCTCTGCAAAACTCTGCAACACAAACAGGTGACTGGTGAGACTCAAGACAAAGATCTTCAAACAGGAACTGAAAGTGGACCAGCTTTGATGTAGACAAAATATTACTTGAGTTGTAATTCTTGCAATACAAGCTGCTACAGTACTGATAGGCAGTGATGTAGTAAATAAAATAGTAGCAAATTAAATGTGAGTAACCTCTGAAATGTTGTATACTATCACATGAAATGTAAATGTTACCGAGCAAACACCTTAACAGTTAGATAACAGGATGAAGATCAATTAGATTTGAGGTCACTTGTAAAAGGAAATGCGACAATCTGATACTTTGTTGCATTTTCCTGAGCTTCTCCTGAGACCTTGACTTTTTACTAGCTCTTTAGATTTGTCCACCGTATCACAATTCTTTAACTAATTAGGCATATTGTGATGCCACTCAAAATTTAAAGCTGTACACAAAGAAAACCACCATTAAGGTTTTTCTTCCAGGTCTTCTTCATAAGTAGAGGTCAACCTAATTGGGGCCAACTCTGTACAAACGCTGCATTCTGTGCATCCAGAAGAAATAATGGCCCCTATCACAGCACAATAAAAGAGGAGGATGTTATCAGAGTTTAATGAAGACTCTGATAAGAACCATATCACAGCACACTAACCAGCATTGAGAGCTTATTACAATACAGTAAAATAGAATACCACAGCACGGTAAACATAGTAACAGCAGAGATATCTGATTGGCTAAAAATGTTGTCTCTGCATCCAAAAATGGCACAGGGGTTAAATGGACCAGGGGGACCACTGATTCATGGGGCCCAAAGCTGAGGAACTCAACAATAACATGCCTGAGAATATCATTCTCAGTGGGCCTTAACCCCCAACAGAAGCCAACTTCAAGGATAATATGTCAAAACCCTTGACATACAGTACAGTTTTCCCAGTTTGTTTCCACTCATGTAGCTTTAACTGTTTGCAGCATGGGTTTGTAATGACTGACCTACTGGACTGCTGTTTACTGAAGAAACTAGAGCCTGACCAATATATTGGTCGGCTGATATTGACCTAATGTAAACATATCAATGCTGTATCAGTATCAGTGTATATGTCAATATTGTCGATTTTCTTTCTTCAAGAATTGTTGTTAAATGATTTAACATGTTATAGAATATTTAACTTAAAGATTCTTTAAGTTAAATATTAAGTTATATGAAGTTATTAAGTTATTTGTTAAACAAAGCAGCCTTCTGTGTATGTTTGCATAGTCATATTGGTGCAAAATTGGTCTAATTATTCCAGCCCAAAAATTCACTATATTGGCCATACTGAGAATGTTTTCCCTCTAAAATTCATATCGGTCTAAAAAGAGGCTCAAGGAGAAACAGTGCAGAATTTAGGGAAATACACTTATTTGCTTTCTGGCAGAGAGTTAAACGACTGATACCACTCATTGTTCGATACCACTCTCATTAGCATAGCTTAGCATAAAGACAGAAAGCAGGGGGAAACAGCTTGCCTGGCTCTGAAATAAAATTGTTATATCTGTTATATCTTGATACTGTACAAAAAGTGTAAAAACGACAAGCGGCAATTTTGTTCAGCTAAGCTTGCTAAGGCATCAATGTTCTCAACGGACTCTCAGCAAGAAAGCAAATTTGCATACTTTCCAAAATGATGAGCTATATTTGTCATTTCACTGGTCATTTCACTGGTTACATTTTAGAGTAAACACATGAATACGGTACAAGACTAATAAAATGAGTGTATTCCAGTAAACTAATCCATTATGGTGATCAACTATTTGCAACACAGTAAAAACATTAATCAAAGAGTCAAATAGTATTACAGCTGTCACTGAGCAGTTAGTAACAGTATATAAACAGTAATGTCATGTCTTGCCACCCAAGTTGCTTTGAGCAAGGCACTATAGTCCAAACATTCTGCAGCAGCACAGCAGTACAGAGTGCTATGCAGAATGTTAGTGCAGTTATGCAAAATAAATAAAACTCAATGCAGGTGAGACATTAAAGTATTTCCTCCATATAACAGCCTCTCACAACAGTCAATAAACACTGTACTCAAAACAAAACCATAACCCTGCTAATGCACACAGCCCATTATCACTGTACACCTCTCAGCTGGAATATTCCCAGAACCGTCTATTCACTGAACCCTAAACTATGGTAAATGGTTCAGCTATCATTTGACTTTAAAACATAGATGGAAATGCTCTTTATGGAAACGAACTACAGCAGCGGCTGAGGATGAATCAGCTGTAATTATTCGGTCCATGTGATAAAATATTAGTCACAGGTCACTACACTATCAGCTTACGGGGAACACTGGTCCTCTGTGCTGTAAGTAATGTTTTCTATTGCTGCTGCATACATTTTGGATCATGATAAACACATCAAGTACTAATTCAGCCTTAGGTATGGAAGCTGTATGTTATGTGCCTCTAAGTATGGAACATGCCATAGTGCTTCTCAATTAGTGCACAACAAGATTAGCTGGTAGAATCATATTACAAACAAACACCTGTACAGTACGTTGCCATGGAGATGACCCGCCTTGTCTTCCCATTGGTGGACTTGCTCCAGATCAAATTGACAAGACACGAGTCAGTTCATCATTTTATAGTCGGTCCCAGTTTACTCTGTGTGTTATCTCATCGTGGCAGCAGTCGTCACTCAGCAGTCTCTACATCAAGCAGTTAAATGTCAATTACAAACGGCTCCTGTCGATATGTCAGAGCCGCAGTGATCACATCGGAGTGGTTCAGTGCCACCCAGCACATCTGACTCTTGACTCTGAGCTGATCTAAATTTAACAGCAAAATATGGACACACACATCCACAAAGAGTGTGTGCATCTGAAGTTCAAACCATTGCTATGTAATGTGGGGAAAAAAGTAGAGAAAGCAAATTGAGATTGTGGCCTAACCTGAACTACGTCCTCTCCTATTTCAAATGTTTCCTTCTTGCCTCCACTGTAGATTTTTAGTATGTTAGGATAACTGTTGCCTGTTCACGCATGATAACACAGAACTGCCCAAATAAAAAGTTAAATATAATTGCCATATCAGAGGGATGTCAGGTTTGGCAGTAAGGGAGGACTACCCCATAGACCTAGCATCCATATTAACTTTAAAGGTGCACTGGGCAACTTTACATGTTGCTTGGCATGAAGTGACTTCAGCAGGTTCATGTCTATCAACCAGGCCAGTCTATGATGTTTTATAGTGCCGTGACGAGAGAGAAGAAAGAGTTCTTGGGAACTTGGGTGGCTGGAGATTGTTCACTCACTGCTGGAGGCAGGTCTGAAGTATTGATTTGTGATTTCCTGTGGGTGGAAGAGTGACTGTATCTGAAACCAGGATTTAATTTGGGCAAATAAAGTGAAACTACAAGGTTTCAGTCAAGATGGGTGTTCTGGAGTTTTTTCACTAATACCTTATGCAACTCTGAAAAAAGAAAAGAAAGAAATGCCTTGAAAGGCTTGTCGTACACGCTGACACAGCATGAAGCCTGAGCGAGTCCACAGCCTGCACACAACAGGTTGGTCCACTGACTCAATTACTTGATACAAATTCAATTAACAGAGCACCAACACAAAGCGCAGTTTGGATATTGCTTACAGTGGTATTATAGTAAAGAAGACACAAGTGGGACTGAGCCCACACACACACACACACACACACACACACACACACACACACACACACACACACACACACACACACACTTGTTTAGACTGAGACTGAAGTATCTCTTTGCATATTTGAGACACTGTGGCACAGTATAGGAGTGACAGAGGCAGATTTTCTCCTGCTCTGTCAGCATATTCACTCTGTTTCTAAGCATTTTAGAGAGAAATTCATGATGTGTTGTATTTGTATCTCGGAGTAGTAGAGCTTCTCCAGGATCAGTTTTGCATCAGTTTTGCTTTGTTCTTACAGAGCAGATAGTTTCTGCAATTCTGTGCAGAAGTGGATTTGCCACTCTTGGTGGAAGGACTTGGTCTAAATGCTGGGAAGGCATTATTGATGAAGAATGACAGGAGTTATTGATCTGCCTGTTATGAAACACCACTGTGGCGGTGTGGTCAATGAGTAGACGTGGCACAAAGGTGCAGGGCACGGTTCAAGTCAATGACAGGTGAAGTCAAAGCACCATGTTGTGGTGAACGTCTGTATCTGCAGGAACGTTTCAGCATGCAAAGACTGTGTGTGAGAACATCTGGAACTCTCTGGACTTCAAGGTTGGACAGTGTCAGCATTCAACAGTGAAAGGATTTGCAGCGATTATTTACAGTAATTAAAGTCTAATCCAAACACTTATAATCTCATCTTTTTTGTCACTGAGGTTTTTAAAAGGGTGGTGAAAGCAGTGAAGGCTGTTAATGAGGACAGCTCGTGTTTGCAGATGTGACAGCAGTGCTCTCTCTGCCTGAAGGTCCCTGGAAGTTAGATTTAGTACCACTTCCTGAGCAGAGCTAAAGTTAGGTTTTGACAGCTATATACACAAACCATGTTTGCGCCCAGGGTGACACCCAGTGAACACGTTTTCATGGCATTTTGCACCACCTTAAGTTTCAACAGAAATGGCCAATAAATGTCTATGTTTGCAGTAAACTTTGGGGGCGATACATGCACACCTGCTTGCAGGTCAGATAAATAATCCACAGGTGTGAATGAAAGTGACCAGAGCATTCCGGGAGAAGTTCCTGTCCCAAACGATTCTTAAAATGATTCAAATTAATTAGGTAAAAAAGATGTCGGATCTCTAAGCTGAGAAATGGAAAATTCTCCAGAAGATTTCAAATACTGTCACTCTATGTCAACAACAATTATTAACAAAATTAAAAAGTGACAGACTCAAAGTGCAAACACAACTTGAGCAATTAGCCCAAATGCAAGGAGGGAACCTCAAGAATAAAAAATCTTCAAGGAGAAATCCTCCTTTTGAACAAACGAGTTGGAGCATAACCCAACCTGAATGTACTCCTGAGTAAAACGGATG